AGAGAGAGTAGGGGAGGGGAAGAGAGAGAAAGGCAGAGAGAGAATCCCAAGCAGGCTCTGTGCTGTCAGGGTGGAGCCCGACACGGGGCTCGAACCCACGAGCCATAAGATTATGACCTGACTCAAAAACCAAGAGTCAGACGCTTAACCAACTGAGCCACCCAGGAGCCCCAGAGAAGCATTTCTGAGTTTACTCATTTACTTTTCAACCACGATTCTGCTACTTTAGTGGCATTGTTTGTTCAGCCTCCTGAACAGTGTGAGGAAATTAAAAGTTCTGAACAGATAGGATTTCCCTTTCTTGAAAAATCAATCACAACGGTTTTTTTTTAGGGGGGGGATGGAGAGAAGGAGGGTGGGTATTGCATTAAAATTGCAATTGTATACAGATGCTATAAGAGTACATCTAGGTAACTACGGTTGAACATCTAGTAAAGCAAAATATCCCTGAAAGTGATCTAATTGAAAAGCCAAGCCCTCCGACTGTAAGATGAAAAGCAGAGGCCAGGAGAGGTTAAAGAACTCGCTTGGAATCACCCAGAGAGGCAAAGCCAGCAATGAATCTCAGGTCCCCTGATTATTAACCCAGAACTACTTTTCCATTCTGCCTCCTAACCTTAAAACAGAAGACCAGATGGAACAAACTAGACTGGAAAAACACAGCATTCTAATAAAACAAACCACCAAGGTGTTATTATTTAGTGCTCTTCCCTCTAGAAAGAGATGTGGCCCTGGATTTAACATATCCCGTGTAGCCCCTATGAAAATGCTGCTGTCTGGTGACTGCATCTCATCCCAGCTCCTGCCTGCCCTCGTTCACATCTTCCTTCATCACTTGAAAGGCACAGGTTTCCTTAAGAGTATTCATCCTGGCAGCCAAGAGTGTAAAAAAGAAAACTGTCCTTTCCTACACACATTCAGTTACATGCATGAAACCACTGGGCAGATGTGAAACAGACAAATTTCTCATCCAGAATCGGGCAGCTTTGCTGAAAGTCCAACTTCATGGTTAATAGCATCACCACATTATTTGCAAGGCAGGAATTACACAGTAAGCAGATCGCTCCTCTGGCGGAGGTGGAGACTGGGAATTTTTCAGGGTGGCTTCCAAAATGACAGAGGCATCACTTCCTGCCCCTTTGCCCCACTTGCCTCTGAAATGGGTTAAAAGTCAAGGACCAGCAGGGAATTACTGGTAGAGATCCTAAATAATTCTGACCAGATAGCTGGCTTAAAAAAGATGTAAGTGGAGTAAGGCAAACAGTTAGAATATCCTTTCCAAATAGAGAAGAACGCAAGCAGAAGATGAGGAAGTTCCTGGTTCCGTTAACTTGCCATTTCCTTGGAAAAACTGAGACTGTTTTCACCTTGTCTCCCTTACGGTGGACCTCTGTGGTTTGAGCTTATCCAGCATCCTTCCAGCCCTTCCTCTAGTATCGTCACAGGGGTCTTCCCTGGTGCACCACCCATCTCCCACTCCCAGGCCTTGTGATTCAGAGGCGGAGGGCCTCACTATGATCCCACCCTTCCCTGGGCACTGGGTGGGTCTCAGGCACCATTATGGCCAACCTGTATGTCCATCCCCTTGACCCCAGTTAGTAGTTCTAGAACAGGCATGGGATCCAAATGGGTCACATGAGATTCAGGAATATAGTGGAATTATTGGGGAAGAGAAGTTGAGCTGATAGGTTATACTTAGAACATTAGGATAGGGTAGAGGTGCAAGGCTACCAGTGAAAAAAACATAGCTTAGAATGAAACTAGTGCAGTACAAAGTCAAGTGAATAGATCAAGAGAGAAATTCCTGATGACAACGTTTTGAGCACCCAGACACAGCCATGACCCCGTTTTACTTAAGCCATTTTGTTTTTTTTTTTAAATTTTTTTTTCAACGTTTTTATTTTTTTTTTGGGACAGAGAGAGACAGAGCATGAACGGGGGAGGGGCAGAGAGAGAGGGAGACACAGAATCGGAAACAGGCTCCAGGCTCCGAGCCATCAGCCCAGAGCCTGACGCGGGGCTCGAACTCACGGACCGCGAGATCGTGACCTGGCTGAAGTCGGACGCTTAACCGACTGCGCCACCCAGGCGCCCCTACTTAAGCCATTTTGAATAGGGTTTCTGTCACTTATAAGCAAAAGATCCTTGACTAACCCACCCCTACGCATCTTTCAAAATCCGGTTTAATTGTCACCTCTTCTGTCCGGCCTTTCCTGAGGATCCCATACTGAGAGAAGTAAGCTATTTGCACTCTCCTTGTGCTGTCTTTCCAGCCACTTCTCTAACCGTCCTTTTCATTCAGTATTTTACCTATTGCCAGGCTTTCAGATTAAGGGTAGGCTCAATGTCTTATTAATGGCTGAATTTCCAATACGTGTCCAATGCCTCAGCCACCGTAGTCACTCGATATAGGAGTGCTGAATTGAATCGAATTTGATTCTAACCACTCTTTCAGCGAACACTGCACCCCTCAACGATTTCCCATCACCCTTGGGATAAAGTCCAAAATCTTCCATGGGCCTACGTGATCTGTCTGCCTCTCCCATCTCAGCTCCTTCTACAGTGGCCCCGTGCTATTCCTTGAGCACACCAAGCCTGTCCCCACCTCAGAGTCTTGGCATTTGCTATCCCTCCTTCCAGGAGAGTTCTTCTCTAAGATAACCGCAGCTATCACTCTACTAGTCTCATCTACTAGTCTGCATCTACTAGTCTCGGCACTCTGCCCAGTTGTGTCCTTACCGGAGAGCCTTTCTAGTAACCAGGATAGCACCTGCACCACTCTGCAACCCTCACCTGCTTCATCTTTCTTCATGACACTCATCACCGCCTGACGCATAGCGCATATGTATTTCTTCACTTATCACTGTCTTCGCCTCTACAATGTACGAAGGCAGGAAATTGTTCTGTTTTGTTCACAGTGGTGTCCCTAGCACCTCAGGATTCCTGGGCTCTCAAAGTATTGGCTGCTATACGTGTTTAAAATAACCTTAAATTTAACTGGATGGGGAAAAAAAAGCAAACCCTAAAACTGAAGCCAACCTAGGCAAGTGAACTTAACTGTATGTTAAATTGTAGCATATAGTGGCTCAGTCGGTTGAGCATCCAGCTTCGGCTCAGGTCATGATCTCATGGTTCATGGGTTCGAGATCTGCGTCAGGCTCAATGCTGACGGCTCAGAGCCTGGAGCCTGCTTCGGATTCTGTGTCTCCCTCTCTCTCTGCCCCTTCCCCGCTTGTGCTCTGTCTCTCTCTGTCTCTCAAAAATGAATAAATGTAAAAAAAAAATTTTTTTAATTATAACATAGGGGGGCCTGGGTAGCTTAGTCGGTTGAGCGTCCGACTTCGGCTCAGGCTATGATATCCCTTCTAGTGAATTCGAGCCCTGCATCAGGCTCTGTGCTGACATCTCGGAGCTTGGAACCTGCTTCACATCCTGTCTCTGTCTCTCTGCCCTTCCCCTGCTTGCACTCTGTCTCTCTCAAATATAAAATAAAACATAAAAAAAAAATTAAAAAACTTGTAACATAATCAGCCTAGGGAAAAAATAGAGTTAATTATTAGAACTTTGAAATATGGTACTTTTATTTTATTTTATTTATTTTAATTTTTTTTTCAACGTTTTTATTTATTTCTGGGACAGAGAGAGACAGAGCATGAACGGGGCAGGGGCAGAGAGAGAGGGAGACACAGAATCGGAAACAGGCTCCAGGCTCCGAGCCATCAGCCCAGAGCCTGACGCGGGGCTCGAACTCACGGACCGCGAGATCGTGACCTGGCTGAAGTCGGACGCTTAACCGACTGCGCCACCCAGGCGCCCCAATATGGTACTTTTAAACCTGTAGTGAAATATAGTCTAAGGATAAAAGTAATTGTAGCAAAAAATATTGAATGTAACTTGGAGGTTTCTTTGTTGGTAGCGGTACTGATGTCACCTTCTAAGATCATTTTGCACATATTGTTAGGATCCAGCAAAGGAATAAATACACTGATGCTGCTGGGAAACACGGTCCACAACGTGGGAGAAGGGGTATGCAAATACAGAATGGGGAAAGGAAAAAAGAACCTCGTGATGTTGAATTAGAATTAAGGGTCAGTATGAAGTCATTCAGCTCCCTGGTTCTGCTTACAAAGAAAGCCTGAAGGAAATGGCATCCCAGGAGCAATGGGCACGCTTAGTGCTCAGATGTTGAGAAAAGAAGGAAAGGGGAAGAGCTTCTCTGTAGAAGACTACTAGATGACATCTGTAGGAAGATAGACCCCCCCCAAAAAAAATCACCATTTACAACCCCCCAGTGGAATGACGGATTCAGGCAGGAATCATCAATGAATGCGAAAACTACGGGGTGACAGATCTGGAGGGAACAGATTTCCACATGGTCTCATGCTACTTATTAATTTCAAGAGAAAAAGGTGCCTTTCCAACGGTGAGATCTGGGAGAGACCACCTGGGCCAAGTGACCAAGTGTAGCATCGCCAATAATGAGACAAACTGATATTACGAGCCTCCTGACGTGATAAGATAGGAGGCACACGCATCACCCATGTCATGTTCTTGCCGAAATGTTTTCACTGAATCTACGCGTTGAGGAAAGGATCAGCCAAATTCAGAAATGGGACATGCCACAGGGCACCTGGCCTACACTCTTCAAAATCATCATCATGAGACAACCACAACAATGTGTCAGGGGACTGAGACCATCGTGATATACAAAACTTTACTGAGCCCTATATTTATTTTTTTAAAAAAGGGTTCTAGAGAACATTTGGGGGATAGAGAATTCTGAATACGGGCTGAATTAATGTTAATATAGTAATATATTATATATTAATTAATATATTTAATTAATTAATAATTAATAATTAATATATTTATTTAATATAATATACTTAATTAATATTATTAATATTTGTGTACATGTATGTACAGACTGAATGCATGAGTCACCATACTTCAGTCCCGAGGATATTGGAAGCACACAAGAACACAGGACTTCAACTTACCTCCCCCGTGGCATAAAAGTCATTGTTTTTATATTCAGGGAACAACAGGAAAAAGTGAGTTAGTGCACTGCGAAAAGAAGAACAACAACAATAAAAAAATCACATGGAATCAAAAAAGCTTAATGCTATGCTACCAAAACTAACCTTTTGACGCTAAGTTTCACATTTGAAGGAAGAGGCCATTAGGCTGTGAGCTCCTGTAAGCGTTATTTTCAAAATGTCACATATGTAACATTCCACACTGTGGATGGTTAGAAAATAATTGTGGGCTTACTTTAGGATACTAAGAGGTTGAGACAAGGGGACATCAACACTCTGGGCAGGTTACCAAATCTCTGGGTTACCAACCTAGATCTTCTAGCTGTTGAGGGTACCCTTGAGCAAAGTGATACAGGCTTTCACCTATTATTACAGCAATTCCTTAAAAAAAATTTTAATGTTTATTTATTTTTGAGACAGAGAGAGAGAGAGAGAGAGACCGAGCATGAGCAGGGGAGGGGCTGAGAGAAAGGGAGACACAGAATCCAAAGCGGACTCCCGGCTCTGAGCTGTCTGCAGGGTTTGAACTCACAAGCTGTGAGATCGTGACCTGAGCTGAAGTCGGTCATTTAACCGACTGAACCACCCAGGTCCCCCTACAGCAATTCTTAGAGGTAGTTCTGCAAGCCTTATGACCCCATTAACCTGGGTTTCTGGTGAAGTAATGAGAATGTTACTTGCTTACCAACATCTTCCTGTGAGGAACCCTGAACATTTCTATTGGGGGGGGTCCCAAAATTTCAGTATTTTAATAACCAAAGAACAAAAAGGCTGTAAAATGACCATAATTTAAAAGAAAACCACCAAATGGCCAGATATAGAACTAACAGTACAGTGGCATCTAAGCTCCAAAAAAATCACACTTACTAAAGAATGCCAATAGCCACTTCAATGAGTTCTCCTGAAATAGATTTCAACAGACTCCAGAAATTGTTTCATAATAAGCAAGAAAAGGGTAGATTATTGAATGATTCTCTACTTGACCAAATCTTTCAAAGAGGAAACAAAACTTGTGGAATTCAGAAGCTCTATCAGTGTTTTGACCCAGATTGCATTGTCTGAGAAGTCAGGCAGAGCTTTGTTCCAGCTTCCTGCTGAGGGACTAAAAGCCATGAACCATCCAGTGAAGATGAAAGGCAAGGAAGGAGGCCCTGCAAAACCAAGAGGAGGAGAAAGTTCAAGGGTTACAGAGAGGCAAAACTGGGTCATTATGATCGCTGCTCACTGCCGGGTCTGGCTGCACTTAATTTGCAAAGGCTCCATAAAAATCCATCATGAAAGACCACTGTAGAGTTTTGGTGTATTTCTGTATTTATTATTGACAGTAAGTAAAGCCTTTGTAGCAACTAAATCTGGGAAGCTGCACTATATAGCTTCCATGTTTGTTCTGGCAATAAGATGGCTTTAGCGTAGAGATAAAAATAGGAGTTTATTTTCTACCCTTCCCTCGCCAACCTTCAGGCTAAAAACTATTTCTCTTCTCTCTTCCTGCTAGTTGGAATGGCAATAGACAGTTTAACATAGTAAATCTCAATTAAGCCTCGTGCTTTGGCTTAAAGTTTATTTCCTTGGAGAATCTGTTAAAGTTGTTAGGATCGCCAGATTTAGCAAATAAAAATACAAGACGTCCAATTAAACTTGAATTTCAGATAAACGACAAATAATGTGTTAGCATAACTATGACCCAAATATTACATAGGACATACTTAGATTTATAAAAATTATTCATTATTTATCTGAAATTAAAATTTAACTAGGCATTCTGTATTTCATCTGGCAATCTTAATTCAAGGAGCTAACCTTCCAGGTTACTTCTAGCTTGAAAATGCCAGGATTCTCTAGCTGAAGTTTCCAAGTTCTCCACTTGAGGAAGTTACAGTTTTAATATCACAAGAGGATCAGAACAAAAATTTGGCTAATCCAAGCCTTTGGTAGGTCTTTTTTTTTTTTTTAAAGCTTATTTATTTTTGAGAGACAGATCATGAGCAGGAGAGGGGCAGAGAGAGAAGACACAAAATCTGAAGCAGGCTCCAGGCTCTGAGCCGTCAGCACAGAGCCCAATGCAGGGCTCGAACCCACGAACCGTGGGATCACGACCTGGGCTGAAGTCATACGCTTAACTGACTGAGCCACCCAGGCGCCCTGGTAGATCTTTCTTAAATGGGAGTGAAGGAAGAAAAAAGTAAATTTAGTAAGTTAGATTTACATATGCCATTTGCTTGTTTAACTGTGTCTTAGTCAACTATATGTAATTCTTATTCCACGGTGAGGGTTTGCTCAAAAATACAATCTAGAATCACGCCTACATAAAATTTCAAATTTAGAAGCAGAATTGCTAAAATATATAATACACGCTAGACACACATTTGCACGCATGCGTGTATGTGCATAGTCACACGAGCTCGCTGTCCACGCACAGTCACAAGAGCTCGCTGTCGCAGGAAGCTTGCCTCTGCCAGACGATGCCATTTGGCAACATTGCTAGCATTGTGCCAGGGGCTTTTGCTAACAGCTAGAATTTTAGTCAAAGGCCATCTGGTGGTAGAAAGTTACACTGAACGACAAGAAGAAGAAATCTACCTCGCAGGGGAAAATGACTAGGAAGAAATTATTCCTCAGACACATTTTGTAAAAAGGGAAGCTGGTAGGTTCGGGGCACAGCAAGTAGATGGAAATGATAATGCACTAGAGAATTTGGAGAGGTCTAATGGAGTCAGAGGCATAATGAACACAAGACGTTAAAAAGAATTAAAACAATCTAAGCAAAAGTTCCGTGCCAACAAAGGCCAGACAAGGGGGAGCTTTTGTCAGTAACAGTGTGACTGAAATAAGCCCAGTGCCAAGAAGCTTGGCAGTTTTGTTCAGCAGTGGCACACGGGCAGCCATCCTTCGCATTCATTCCACCCCCACTATGGCCGGGCCATGATCTGCTCCGTCCAGTGTTCTCATTTAATATGTGAAACCAGTTTCATAGTCACATGGTTATGAAACACGTTTTAGCAATTGATATTATTTCCCATACAAAGCGGCAGGTGGAATAGAATGATAGTAGCGTTTCCATCTGGCTGCTAAGAAACTAACTTCAGGCACGCTCAAGATGGGTAAGCACCAGACCAAGGACTAGGGGAGCTTGTTGACTACTCTATTACCAGCATCAGGGACAATGTCTGGCACATAGCAGGCAATCGATAAACAGTGGTAGAAGGGGAATGGTACCAGACCATACACTCCAGATCAAAGTTAGTAAATTTGTTATTCTTTAGTATATTTAGTTATTTATTTTACCTAAATCAGAGGGGCATTGTGGCTCAATAGCATGTTCCAAATTAAAAAAAAATCGAATATTTAAATGTCTGGTTAGTAAAAAGCCTTTGCTTCCAAACAAACACACACAAGGGCAGCCTAAGTGTGAATGTCAAATGCCTCTTTAGGAGTCTACTCCTTATAGGCACGGACTATTAATAGTCAAAAGGAATGGGTTTTTCAGTGGAAAAAAAAAAAAAAAAAGATGGTTTTCAAAAGGAGAAAAAGAAGGTCTACTCTTTAAACCTACGTTTATGGGTTTCAAAGCGACCTTCTTATTCCAAACACCCATCTGGAGAGCTGGAGAGAAGAATGTAGTCACAAAGGGAAACAAATAGTGTAAACTATAAAGGAAACAGCTGAAATCAGTTTTCTGCACTACCCTTGATTAGCTATTTTCCAGTTCTAAGAGCCTGAAGCAAAAAGAACTAAAACAGCTATAAACAATGGATGCTTTGAAATAGGTTCTCTTTACATGTCATCTAAAAGGAGATGTACCACATGTCAGCAGTATACATCCACACGGAGGGTCAACGGGAAGCTGTAACCATCTTTGGGGGAGGGGAAGAAGAGACAAAAAGAATGGCGGGTTGCATGCTCTGGCTTAGAGGGGATTGATGCATTTCTTCACCACAGAACCTCCGCCCTCTGGGTGTTTGCTAGTTAAACAACTGAGCTTGTTTGGATTTAAACCAAAAGAGGATCAGAGAGGGCAGGGAGGAATAAGGGGAGAAGTAGGTGTTCTATCTGAAAAATAAGAGCAGACAGTCACTGCTCATGGCACTTGAGTAAACTTGTAAGGACAGCCATCATGATTATGTGTCTATAGGGAAAGAGGAGGTGCCTGAGCTAGGGGCAGAGGAAGGGGAATCCTGTGGAAATCTGGCTAATCTGCTCCCAGGACCCAATGTACCTGGAAGCAGAAGTGTGGGGTCCTAGCCATGCCCCTGGACACAGAATGGAAGCGACTAAATAATGGGACAAATAACAAATGAAAGTGTAGAAAACAGGGGCGCCTGAGTGGCTCTGTCAGGTAAGCGTCCGACGTCGGCTCAGGTCATGATGTCACGGTTCGTGAGTTCGAGCCCCGTATCGGGCTCTGTGCTGACAGCTTGGAGCCTGGAGCCTGTTTCAGATTCTGTGACTCCCTTTCTCTCTGCCCCTCCCCCGCTCGTACTCTGTCTCTGTCTCAAAAATAAATAAAATGTTAAAAAAACACTTTTTTAATAAAAAATTTTAAAAAAAGAAAGAAAGTGTAGAAAACACCAGCCATATTTGTTTTCTGGGTCCGCAGAGAAGACAGAAAGAAATGTCTCAGGAAGAAAGGCCAGAAGTTACTCTTTCGTCCGTTCCCTAGCCATCTGCCTTGGGGAGAAAGAATAAAATGGAAAACTTTTGTCAGAGATCAGAAAACTCTGATTTGTTATTAGACTTACTTTCACTTTAGCAATTGGTTGGGTTTGCTCACCAAGTAATCAGCAGAATGAGTGTGTGGTACAATTAGGAAATAGGGGAGTTGGTTATCTCATTCTGGCCACTAGGGTTCTGTGAGTAAATGATTATAGGGCATAAGGTGGTACCCTACTGATCTGAAAGAATTCGGGACTTGACCTCTAGTAACAATTTACAGACTGGAAAAATGTGACCAAATAAGAATGGTCACTTACTTAAAAAAAAAAAAAAAATACTAAAAATAGCCATAGCAAATATGAGTACGAAAAAAGAAGAACTTCTATGTGCAGTGTTTGACCAGGCTTACAACTTTACATCTTCTTTCTATTTTTTTCTTTTTTTTAAGTAAAAGAATAGTTGTGGAAGATGAAGGAAAAAGTCAGAGACTAGCTAACAAGCTAAGCTTTCAGCCTGGGGGTCATGAAGGAGAAGCAAGAGAGGGGAAAATTGCATCTGAAGGCCACAGAAAGAGGAGTCCCGAGAAAAAAGAGAAACGAGCAAGAAGATGTTGTTTCTGGGCAAATGCAAAGTTCAAATACAATGTTGGGAAGCACACAACATCCTCTCAGGCACCTAGCTGAAAGGCTTGAAAATAATCTTTGGGCGGATATTCTGTTCCGTTTCTGTTGTCTCTTAAAGGATATTTTTACAAAATTACAATCGTGCCTGAGGATTTCAGCCCTCCTTGTTATTTTCTTGCTGACCATTTTTTGTTGTTGTTTTTTGTGTGTGTGTTTTTTTTTTTTTTTTGATTTATTTAAATTCAAGTATAGTGCAGTATTGGTCTCAGGAGTAGAATTTAGCAATTCATTGTTTACAGATGACACCCAATGCTCATCCCAACAAGTCTGCTGGCCATTTTCACAGTTATCAGTGATAAAGTAACAAAGCAAAAAGCAGACTGTGTGTACGCACATGTGTGCACACGCACACGCGTGTGTGTGTGTGTGCATGCGTGTGTGAGCTCCTCACGTAGAAGTATTCTTAATATGTCTTTAAGAATTAGTCCATGAGGATCCATTAGTACTACTGACACCATTGGGTGAATTTCCGTATCGAAATACAAAAACGTTTGGTCTGAAGAAGGTCAAGAGACAGCCAAGACCTTTTACCTGTATAAATTCCATGCCACATCATCCTCATTGACTGCGTATCCCTGGGGGTCGTCAGTAAAACTGAACCCTGTGCCCACCTGAGGATGAAATAAATAAGCAGGTATAAACACCGAGAAACACATGCCTCAGAGCCCTCAGGGAGATATCACACGGGAAGGAAATCGACCTTATTCCAAAGGCCAAGCCTCTGAGCTGGGATTTCTGCCACACTACCCCATGTGCCTTTACCCATCCCCATGGTGGGGGCAATGCTGCATTTCACCTTTTGCCTCTCCCCTCCACCAACCCCAAATAAAAGAACAGCACAAAGCTCTGCCCTGGGGTCAGTGGCTGAGCTGTCCTGATTCCACAATGTGGACCCTGCCAGATATTGATTTAAAGGGGAGCCATTCACCTTTCCTGCCCCCCCCCCCCCCCCCCCCCCCCCACCGCTGCACTATCAAAAGACCCAAAGTTGTCCCCTCTCTGAAACCTGGAGGGCGTATTGCTCTGTCCTGCTAAGAAGGAACTCTCTAGGCTGGAGATGAACGATAGTTTGTGTGTGTGTGTGTGTTTTCATTTTTTTTATTTGTGAGAAATATGGCCACTAAGCCCCTTCACCTTCAGTAGAGAAGTTTTAAAATAAAGATTAGTTTGAAACTAACACTTCCTTACACCTAGAAGTGCATAGACAACCAAGCTGTAAATCCAGAAGAAGCTGCCACTTATTTTGTGTCAAAAATCTGCATAAAGGATGCACCTCAACTAGGTGTAAACATTTTTGTTTTTGCTTCCCCTAAACACACAAGGGAACAGGACATTTCATTCGACTTCTTTTGAAATACGCAATTGTAGACGAGGAAAGAGGATGGCTGACAAAACTTGGTGGGAGAAGAGGGAACAAGTACGTTGGACTTTTTTTTTTCTCCCCATTTATCTGTTTTCTCGGAACCATCTGGGGCGTGAGAGAAATCAGAGAAATCAGTTAGGGGCCAACGACACTCCTGATCTGCAGAAGCTAACTCTAAAGTTACTCTCCTATTTTTCTGTTTATTGGACTCAATTTCAGAAGAACTTCCAAAGGAGAACCCCACATTTTGCTCCTAGATGGGGCTCACTGTGATAAATGAAGGAGACTAGCTTTGACTTTTGAAATCTACAACTCTGCTAGAAATGTTAGGAATTCCAATACTATACAATAACCCATGATATGGGGAAGCTGGATCATCAGTCGAAAGAAACCAATCCCTTATCCTGGATGATATAATTCAGTGAACAGGACATTTCATAAGATTAAAAATGAGAGGAGAGAAAGTAGCAAGTAAAATTCCTCCAAACTCAGATTTAATGATATATGCTGGAAAAACGACATCTCAGATGGTGTTTCAGAGATTAAATTCTGTTTTATAAAGAAAGCCCTAAGCCTGTTTCTTTTCCCTATTTTTTAAAAAAAATGTTTTTTGGGGCGCCTGGGTGGCTCAGTCGGTTAAGCGTCCGACTTCAGCTCAGGTCACGATCTCGCGCTCCGTGAGTTCAAGCCCTGCATCGGGCTCTGGGCTAATGGCTCAGAGCCTGGAGCCTGCTTCCGATTCTGTGTCTCCCTCTCTCTCTGCCCCTCCCCCGTTCATGCTCTGTCTCTCTCTGTCTCAAAAATAAACGTTAAAAAAAAATTAAAAAAACATGTTTTTTAAACGTTTATTTTTATTTTTGAGAGAGACAGAGACAGGGACAGAGTGTGAGTGGGGGAGGGGCAGAGAGCAAGGGAGACACAGAATCCAAACAGGCTCCAGGCTCCGAGCTGTCAGCACAGAGCCCAACGCGGGGCTCGAACTCGGGAACGGCGAGATCATGACCTAGGCTGAAGGGGGTTGCTTAATCAACTGAGCCACCCGGGGAACCCCTCTTTTCCCTTATTTTTTAAATGTACCTTATATAAAGGAAAAAGACAAGAGAGGCCCACTTGGCATTTCATAGGACCATCGGATACTCACTGGATTATCAATGTAAAGCATGGAAAATGTGGTGCTCCAAGAAAACTCTCTGGGACGCACTAGTAAAACAGAGAAGAGGTTTGAGACTGGGTCGTTAACCAACCAGCCCACCTACGGCCTGGCTCTGGTCAGCAGCCCAGCAGCCCCACCTGTCCCCATCGTGCCAATGAATTCCTGGGGTCCCTTTGACACTGCTTCAGCCTCGTACCGTAGGGAACAGACACCAGCACCTTTTTTCTTCTCCCCTCTTCTCTACTTTTCCCGGACCTAGAGAAACCCCCAGAGGGTTTCTCCTTCTAGGATAAAGTTTGGAAACAAAACCCCTTGCAACTGTTTCGCTTAGAAAAAAACCCATAAACCTCCTATCTGTCTGATCCAATCAACCATTCTTAAAGTCTGGTCCTTCTAAAGCCTCTTCTTCCTTTCTAATGCCAAAGAGAACAACTCTTTTATACCTGAGTGACAAAGTCGTTCGCCCTCCAAATTCTGTCCCAGGGAAAGTAAACAATCTTCCCCAACCCCCAAAATGAGATGGAGGTGACCCAGGGTTACAACCAGATGTGGTTCCTCCGCCCCTTCCTTCACCCCTGTCTCCACCCACAGCATCTTGCTTCCAGGGTATCTGACCATTTATGCTACTGAACCATACGGTGTTCTGTTGATGTGAATAATTAGGGATACAATTCCACCCATTAGGCTCATGCAAAAGAGCTTGCCCAAATAGTAATAAATACCAACTGCTTTCATAAGCCCAGATTGCTTAAGTCAGCAGCAGATTGCAAGAAAATAGCTTAGAACCTTTCACTCAGATTTCAAGGGAGAAAGCAGCCCAGCCAGGACACTCAGCCTGGTGGCTCCTCCTTCTTGGACAGACATGGTCAGAAAGCTATGTTTTTATAACCTGAAACTATCAAGCTATTCCTAGTGGTTCTGTGTATACTTTAATTTTTTTTTTATGCAGCAGATATAAGTTTCAGGTGAAAACCTCTCCATGGGAAAACAGAGTCCGAGTAATACTTACCAGTCATGTTACTTGTGACAATATAAGGTCCGTGCTCCACAAAAAGTCCAAACATGGATGAACCTCCTGGCCCACCCTGCAGCCAGAGAACTACTGGAGCAGCCATGGGCTGTACCTAAGGGGGACAAAGAAGTCGATGACCACACGGAGCACTAAGCAAAAGAATACACCCAAGCAAACATATCCAAACCCTGTGTTTTTCACTGCCTCGACTAAATCTCATAAAGCCTGCCCAGACCCCGGTGTCTGCTCTCCATTACAAGCACAGTGCTGGTTATCTCTTGTTTTAAGTTAGTATTTGCCTCATCATGCTGGTATCTATCTTGCTCAGTTCAGTCTTTTCCTCCCAATAGCCAGAAAACCCACTGAAGATAGAAGCTTTGCCTCTGTAGGCCCCTAGAGACCCAGACATTGCCTAGGGCTTGGCTATATTTTTTAAATCTGTTTAAACTTGCGTTTGGCCAATATGTTCCCAAAGAGGCACAACAAAGAACCTGTCCTCCTCGGTGACAGTTCACCTGCTTCACTGGAGCCCAAACTGCCTTTCTGATTTCATTCATTGAGAGGGTGCCCACAAGGACAACAGCATCTTTATTCAACATGAGGGAACTGTGGGGCGCCTGGGTGGCTCAGTCGGTTAAGCATCCGACTTCGGCTCAGGTCATGGTCTCACACTTCGTGAGTTCAAGCCCCATGTCGGGCTCTGTGCTAACAGCTCAGAGCCTGGAACCTGCTTCAGATTCTGTGTCTCCCTCTCTCTCTGCCCCTCCCCTGCTTGCATTCTGTCTGTCTCTCTTTCTCAAAAATAAATAAACATTAAAAAAAAAACACGAGGGAACTGAGAAGTGCATAGGCCCAGAATCAGTTAGTAACAAAACCCCAAACAAGGTACAAACTGATTTAGGAGACAGGGAAGAGGTAAATAAGAAAAGGTCATTGGCAGAGTGGGGATGATGAAAAATGAGTTTCTGGTAGTAGAGAAAAAGAAGAAGACTTATTCTCTTTTGCTTCTATTTTCATGTGACACAGAGACTATAAAGAATAAACCCAATGATTAAAGAGTGTGAAGAGGCAATAAAGGCGATGTTAAGAGAGTGGGTGAAGGCAGAAAAGAATGGTGTTTCCTTTAAACACAGGTGATCAAGGAAAGACTGAGTGAGATCTTGAGTTGAAGGAGATCTGAATTCTAGATGGATCCAGCCATGAGAGGAGCCAGGGAACAATGCCACAGACAGAGGGAAATGGCGGAGGAAAATCGTCAACACAGAAAAGAGCTAGATGTGAGTGGTGAACGAGAGGTCACCAGGTCCTACGTGAATCCTCCAGAGCAATCTGAAAGGAGCTCAAAGTGGCTTCAGGGAGGCTCACAGTTGGATGTGACAGTGAGTGTTGGCTGGAAGTCATGGCTCATTTGATGTTCAGTCAGCCAGGCTTAGCAAGCAAGATCTCATTGCTTTAGCTCAGAACGAAATCTACAACCTCTTACTTAGCCCAGTCACGTAGAGAGCAGTGTTTCATTTGCACATTTGAGCAGACTGGTTCCATCTACCCGGATGATGTGAGAAGGCTGTGGGCAGAGGCAAGACTAACGCAAGGGGAGGAGATCTGGGCACCACAGCCAAGAACCTAGAAGCAGAGCTGACCACAGGGTTCTAACCATAAAGACAGATGTGAGACAGGGATTTCTCCTCTCCAGTCACCAGGAGTCTGACAAAGTCAGCCTTGCAAAAAGGGAGGTGGTGGTAAGAACAGCCGTAAGCTGGGCAAGAGCCTCTCTAGGAGGGTCTACCCTGAGGTCCCTTCTCCCGCATCAAGGAATTAAATGAGGTAAGATTTGTAAAGCTTTTGGAAGAATGCCTAACGTGTGATAAAGGTATAATAAGTACAAACAATCACTGTGGTTAAAGAAACAAGTAGAAAAGGTAGGAGCCCAGAGTCAGACTGGGAAACTTGGGTCAGCAGGACTGTAGGGCTGTATACAGGGCTAAAAATCAGCCCAGTATAATGCAAGTCCGTGAGCTCTTACCCCTCACTGGATTCAGACCTGGGCTTACCTATCTACTAGCTGTGTGACCTTAAGCAAGACGCCCAAGCTCTCTGAACCTCAGTTTCCCCATCTATAAAATGGGGATCAGTAATAGTACCTATGTCATGTGGTTGATGTGAGGGCTAAAATTAATCTTCGAAAAGCTCAGTGAGTGGGATATATAATACGTGTTCTGCACACGTTAGCGATTGATGTGAGAAAGAAACACTAGGAGTTATAGATGGTTTTAAGATAAACTCTGTATAAATGAGAGGACCGGAAAAGTGGCTTGTTTGGTGTTTTCCCTTGCACCTTTGGCCAATACTTTCCCTGGTCAGTTTTTCACTAGTTAGTCCCCTTGCAAATGTCCATAAAGAATTGAAAAGAATTAGGGATTTCTCTTATAAGTTGAGCTAGGAAATATTAAAATCAAAGACGGCTTTCTAAGGCTGCTCTGGGGAAGTGGGGCATTGGTATACCAACTGGAATTGGAAGCCTGGCAGATTCTGGTTCTACTTGGCCACAAAACAGCTGTGTGATCCTGACCCTCAGAATCTTCCAGCCCTCGGCTTCCCAGTCCATCAAATGGCAATAATGCCCACCTCACAGGCGTGAGAAAATGGATCATGAAATGATATTGCAAACTCTGCTGGGCCAGATAAACAGAACCATCGGTACCCTAACCTGCCTGGCCCTGACTGTGTGTGCTTGGTCTGAATAAGTGATTTTTAGCTCCCGGCCCACGCTCTAATGTGCTGTTCAACACCACTTACCGGGACCACCTTCCACTTGTACTCACTCAGCAAGGGAGCGTATTAGAAATGGAGAAGCAATGGATCTCAGTGGATGCAGGTCCAGCCTCCCTGGGAATGGGAGGTACTGTGCGCCCACCCATTCCAGTGGACGCCCAGCCCCCACTTCTTTCCGAATGTGCACAAGAGCTTCCAGAAGCCACGGTATGCTACATGTGAGCCAGTGGTTCTCAACCTTGGCCACCCACTAAAATACCTTCTTGAAACGTTAGTGCCTAGGCCCAAATCCCAGTGATACCAAATCAATTGGTCTGGGGTGAGGCAGCCATCAGACTTTTTCAAAGCTCTTGGGTGGTTCTGATGTGGAGGCAGGGCTGAGAAGCTGCAAGGGTAAAGGAAGTTTGTCCTCTCGGGTGCCCTGGCCCTCTGGTCTTTGCCCTCCCCTCCCCTCCCTTTTCATGTCCCTTCCTGTGACCTGGCACAATGATGGGACCTCTGGGCTCTCAGAAAAATAGCCTGACCCTGAGAGGCCACACTACAAAGTCAAGTCAAACACATCGGTGCCAAACATCTTTATTATGCAACTTTGAAGCACAGGACACTGCATTCTTGGAATGCTTCAATAATAAGAGATCAGCATACACACCTCCAACCTCAGCCGACCTTGCTCCTCGAATGTACTTTCCTGAAGGAGGTAAATGAGCTCAATACCCCTTGAGGAAGCCCGTTTTTAAAGAAAACTCCATATTACTCGGCAATCAAAAAGAATGAGATCTTGCCATTTGCAACTACGCGGGTGGAACTAGGGGGTATTACACCAAGTGAAATTAGGCAGAGAAAGACAAATATCATATGACTTCACTCATATGAGGACTTTAAGAGACAAAACAGATGAACATAAGGAAAGGGAAGCAAAATAATAAAAAACAGGGAGGAGGACAAAAACATAAGAGACTCTTAAATATGGAGCACAGACAGAAGGTTACTGGAGGGGTTGCCGGGGGGGGGGGGGCGCGGTGGTATGGGCTAAATGGGTCAGAGGCATTAAGGAATCTACTCCTGAAGTCACTGTTGCACTATATGTTAACTAACTTGGATGTAAATTAAAAAAATAAATTAAATAAAAATTAAAAAAAAAGAAAAAAGAAAACTCCATGCACACATCTTTCTACGACACTCCAACCAACCTATGAGCTAATACTAGCCTCATCTGTAATGAAATGCAAAACTCAGATGCTGGAAAATCAAGGTTTACGTATTCAGTGCTAAAGCCCCAAGAGTTAGTTATATCACAGCACACAGACTTTTGTAATCTGATATGACATCCTAATGACATGGTCTGCAACAATAATTACATCAAGAATAATGGCATAAAGCTGTAATGTGATCATGCCTAGGGTGACATATTTAGCTCTCAGTTGTGAGAATGCAGCCCTCTCCCCCTCTGCACCCCCGCCTTAGGAAAGAATAAAAGTAAACAAAGACATCCTGAACAAAAACCCACATTGAAAAACTTAAAAGAAGCAAATGCTTTAATTCACTTAAGACTTAACAAAGTTCAGGGCTTTTAAAGTACTTATTATTTTGAAGCGATGATTCAAGAGCATATGGAACACGAGAAATAGTACACTTATTTTTGTGAAAAGTTCTAGAAATTTTCTTTAAAATTTTTTATGTTACAAAGAAAGCACTTACTCTTCATTAATTTGTATTCAAGAGGGTATTAAAAAAAATCTCCCTTATCCCACTAGTTGTAGTCCCCAGAGATGATCGTGGAGATGGTTAGTTTTCCAGGTTTTTCTCTATGCACCCCCCATACACACACATATAAATATATTTTGTAGATGTTATATATGCTATGTGTGTAAATACTTTTTTCCAAAAATAGAATCAGGCTATATAAAATATTCTGTATTTACTGTATTCACTTAACATGTTGTGAAAATCTTTTCGTAATAGTGCATATCATCTTTTGGCTAAACCATATGGCATTCTGGATTTACCACAATGTATTAACCCATTTAACATACAACACTGACAGGCATTGTTCTAAGGTTTGGACAGTAGGATACTTAATGTTTAAGAGCATGTATTTTGGCACAAGACTAGCAAGGTCTGAATTCCAACTATCTTATTTTATAGCTGTGTGCTCTTGGGCAAGTTACTTACCTTCTCTGTGTCTTAGTGTCCTCTGCTTAAAAATAATAATAATAATGCCTATCTTATATGGTTGCGATATAGATTCGAAGAATTAATATATGCACAGCACTTAGAACAGTGTCTGGCTATTAATAGCCAAACATCTATTTAAATGTTAGCTCTGCTTATTTTTCTGGG